GAGAAGAAGACTGTGTCCGTGTGACCTCTGGGCAGCAGCCCTTGTGCCTACTTGTCCCTAAACAGGTGTTCCTCGCTGCTAACTCTGTCCTCTGTAGAAGGGTAAGGACGTCCTGAACAAATTTCACAAGCCGGTTTTATGGATCCCACTGCTACCCCAGACCAAAGAGATCCAGGACTCCCAATGTTATAGGGCAGGGGGGGAGCACCCCTGAACCCCCAAATCTGCCCACCCCAAGTAGGTTCTGCCATCTGCTGCATCAAGACAAAACATACAAGATCTTTAATGGAAAGGAGCCTTAATACAATTAGTGTGCAATACAGAAAGATAAATAAAATAGATTCTAAATCAGACACCCAAAGTTTCTCATCCCCTCATGGGTAAAAGTCTACCCAAAAGGGATTGAAAGCTTGACACAAGTCTAAAGCACCTTCTGGCCGGGACCCAGAAAGGGTCAGAAATGGTCAGACAAGTCTGGGAGGAAAAGTGCACAATCAAAATGAAGATAAACACTCCACTCCCATAGTGAATCTCTTCACTGGTCTCTCACCCACGTCTGTTCCACCCAGTCCAGGGCCAAGAAACAGGAGCCGTTTCTTCACCTCTCTCTGCTCCATGTGGCTTCCTTAGGTCTCCTGGCTCTCTATCCTGCTTCCTTCCTCCTCAGTCTCCTCTTCAGATTCTTCTTCTCCCTGTTCAGGTCCACCTTCCTTTGGGTGGGCAGGGAACCTGGACTGTCCCCTTTTCCTGGGGACACCTTCCCCCCCTCCCTGTTACACAAGGACTACAAATCCCATAATGTCATCACCACGGAAGGGAGGAGTCCAACTGGCTGACCTGGCAGACAGGTATAAATAGGCTTCCTTAAGTCATTTCCTTTGGCTAAAATGATGGAGTGCTTTGGACCTCACCTATAAAGTTAATATAATGGACTCTGGTGGGCAGAGGTAGGCTCACTCTTTGAAGTTAAGAGAAATGTTAATGAAGGCATTTTAGGGAATTAATTCCTGGATACAAAGGAGGCCACAGTGTTCTTGACTGGGCTAGAGGTGGTGAAGCTGATTGCTTAAAGGGAAACAGGCTTTGCACTTCCCTGAAGTAGAATAGACTTTACTTGACCTTCCATATTTAAATACAAAGTCTTAGCAACGTTGCAAATGACTTTAATTTTGTTAGTGCCTGCTGCCCCGCCTCTTCCCCTAGGAGTTGTTAGTATTTATAAATTCCTAGAAAGCCTAAAAGAATGTAATGTTTGCACTGGGGTGACCAGAAGGAGGAGGTAAAACAGGAGCCCCACCTAATAGACACATTTGCTATTCAGGGAGTAAACATACAGCTGGAGGGACTGTAATGGGGTGGTCCCCAGGGAAAGGGGACAGTCCAGGTTCCCTGCCCCACCCAAAGGAGGGTGGAACTGAGCAGGGAGAAGAAGAATCTGGAGAGGAAGGAAGCAGAATGGAGAGCCAGGAGACCTGAGGAAGCCACATGGAGCAGAGAGACATGTGAAGAAACTACATTTGCTTCTTGGCCCTGGACTGGGTGAGATAGATGTGGATGAGAGACCTGTGAGGAGGTTTATTATGGCAGTGTTTATCTTGATTTTGATTTTGCTCTTTTCTTCCCAGATTTCTGCCCATTTCTGACCCTTTCTATGGGTCCCTGCTGGAAGATGCTTTAGTGTTGTGGTGGGCTTTTGGGTCTTGCTTTGGGCCAGTACTGTTTGGCTGGACTTTTACTCATGAGCGTAACTTTGGGTACTTGATTTGAAACCTATATTCTTTGTCTTTTCTGTATTGCACACTAATTGTATTAAAGTTCCTTCCCATTAAATGTCTGTATGTTTTGTCTTGATGGCAGCGAATGATAGAACCTATTTACAGGGGTTGATTTGGGGGTTCTCCCTGCCCTGTAACAGGACCTGGAGCCAAGCAATTTGAATCCAAGGCAGGTCACCTGGACCAGTGATTCTGGACACTTCGCCTTGGAAGGGAAAGTGACCTGACTTGGCTACTGGGGTCAAGTTCAAAGATGAGCCTAGTGCCGGTTTCCATGCTCAGGTCCCCTGTCAAACATGAGAGATAAGAGCTGGGTTAGGGAACCTAGGTTTATTCAGATAACCTGTGTTTTGGGAGAGAGAGCGAACTCACATCCTAGAGAAGCCACCTGGAAGGGCTCAGAGAGGGTTTTTTTTTTTTTTTTTAAAAATTTATTTATTTGTGCATACAGAACTGGGGTACAGGCCAGACTCACGGAGGGAGAAAGAATTCACCAGAGACAGAATGGGGAGCAGAACAGGCAGATTGACAAAGTACACTGCTGAGGGGAGCAGCAGGCGGGTCAGGAGAAGGTCTGCCGCGCCATGTGGTCACCTCCAGGGCAGGCGGGAATTGAACTCATGGGGAAGTGGCTTTAGCTTCTCAGTGCTGTGCTTTAACCCGCTGCGCCACCAGGGAGGGCCCAGAGAGGGTTTTTTATGAGCATCTGGTCAAAAAAAAAAGTCTGAATTCACCTGGTTGCCATTTGTATCTCTAGTGGTGTTTGCAAGCTAGAGGTTGTTGTATCCTGTGTCCTTCCAGTGGGGGTGGGGAGGGCAGGGGGTGAGGGGGTGTGTAGCATCTCCATGGTTCAGTTGTCAACCGAGAAGCTCAGCAGAGAATGCTGGAGGTTTGCTTAAGATCTTTTGGGGATGTTATATGTTAATAAGTCAATGAACTAAGGAACACTACTGAGCATTCTAAAGGTTATGCTAATGGCTAAAGGGGCAGAAGCCTTCTGCCCAGTTTGTATTTGTTTTAGCACCTTCACACCTGTGGACACACCTGACCACTGAATGGGGAGTTGCCTGGAGTTAAGGCCACCTTGAATCAGGGAGTGTTCCCGGGTGGTCTCCTGAGTGCCAGGCGCTCCCCAGCAGCCTAGCAGCGGTGCCCTGGTTAGGTATGGCGCCTGCCAGCTATGGCCATGTGAGGGAGACAGAAGAGTCATCTAAACATGAACCCGATTTTAAGAAAGGAAACAAATGAAATTGTTCATTACTTTGCAAATGGATCCTTTCGGTGACGCTATAATGTTCTCGTAACCTGAGTTGGAACGTAAATGGTGATAGTTCCTTCAAATGTCTATACTTGGCAAATTAAAAATGATCAATTCTAATTTTCTAATCAATCCTAATTTAATCTAGAATTTTAAAAGTCTAGATTTAGGGGAGGAAAACAGGAAACCATGAAATTGAAGACATTAGGAGATGTTGAAGTCAGTGTTTATGGACCCACAAAACATGTTGGGGCTCCCTGCTGGGGATTTTTAGTGAAACCAGATTCTCTTGTCCTTGCTGATATCTGACCTGTTTCCACTTGAATCATCTCTGCAAAAATTTTTAGAAATAATGAGTGCAGGAAAAAAGAACAAATCAAAACTAGATCTGTTGCTTAACCTGGCTTCCTCTGGGCAATTTTTGACTGACTCCTTTTAGAAATTTGGCCAGGTGATTTTTCTTTTTTATTTACCTAAGGTATATTTTTTAAAGAAAAAAAAAAACAAAAACAAAAACAAGAACTCCTACCCCCGAAAGGAATACTTTTTTTCTCATGGGAAAGAACCCTCCATTGTATTTGAGGACTGAATGAAGTTCTGCCAATTACTTCACCCTTGTGAAACACTGAAATTCTCCCAAACATACTAATTAAGATACGTTTTGTCTTTTCTGTTAGTTTTAGCTTTGAAGATACCATAAAAATAGCATGCTGCAGAACCAAGAAGACTAGTTGGGAGGAAATGACATTGTCTTTTTACTTGGCCATCAGCCTTCCGCTTGAATGGCCTGGTAGAGACCACTCTTTCCATGACCCAGATGCTAGGGCTGCGCTCTCAGATCGTGTAGCTGAAAGGCTTCTGGGTTTGTGCAGTGCGTGACCTACGTAACTGAGCACTGGCCTGCTGCACCCCAGCAAAAATAGGAACAAGCATCAGCACTGAAGGACGTACACTCATTGATCAGCTCTATATGTCTGTGTATCAGTCCAAGAAATCATTCTTGATAGAACATGACTTCTTTTCTTTCTTTCTGATTTACAAATTAGCAATTCTACCAAATTTTATCTGTGCCCCAGTGAATGGTTTGGATCACCCTTTGAGGGAGGCCACTCTGTTTGGGGGACACTGAAAACTGAGACCAGGAGAGGTTGAAGAACAGGAACAGGACAGTGATTTTTTTTTTTAAAGATTTATTTATTTGTGCATACAGAACTGGGGTACAGGCCAAAGGTTCAGGGGTGGCG